AAATTTGACAATGAGCTTGTGAGTTCAGAATGTAAGATTACATAGGAACATCTTGGGCTCAGGGTATTTGAACAAAATAACCTTACTACCTTAGACATGTCATCATTCATACAATCCAATTAACTCATATTGAATTGCAGGACGAACTACACAAGTATATAGATTTAAATTACCCATGAATTGAACCAAAAGTTGCAGTCTTGCAAAAGACATCTAGTTGGTCACCAGGTCGAAACAGATTTACGACCCGTGAGTGATTTAACTACTTAACACAAAAATCTCATTTAAGAACATACATCCAAATATATTAGACAGAAGCAAAGTACAATGACAATCAGGGGATATGGCAATTAAAGTATATACTGACAGAAGCAAAATATACTGACAATCAAGGGCATGGCGATCAAAGTATACTGACAGAAGCAAAACATACAGACAATCAGGGGCCATGGCAAACAAAGTATACTGACAGAAGAAAAACATATCAAGGGCTATCTTCATCATGCAAGGCTTCTAGATTGTGACGTCTAATCTAACTTAAAAGGAAACATCAAGGCACAAAGAGAACAATCAGCCTGATTCACCACTACCAATACAAGATTGCGCCTGCAGACTGTAGAAAGCAGCCCATGAGTATTGCCCATCAAAGTATACCGACAATCAGGGGGGCATTGCCCATCAAAGTATACTGAAAGAAGCAAAGTATATCAAGGGCTATCTTCATCATGCAAGGTTTCTAAGAATTGTTATGTCTAACTTCATCCAAAGGAAACATCATGGAACAAAGGGAACAATCAGCCTGTCTTCAGCACTAACAATACGACATTGCACATGCAGTTTGTACTTTGTACGAATCAGCCCATTATAAATCATGAACTGCACTAAGCCATTGCTGCCATGATGCAAATGAAGTTAGAACCAAACGGGGATTATCAGAGAGCGAGAAATCAAAAGGGCTCTGCTACCACAAAACAATAATTATCACAAGATTATCAAGAATGCACTATGACAAGACACATAATTAAGCAATCCATAAATAATGCAAAGGTAGCAGCAAGCCAACAGTGTATAAGACTACCTAATGGAGAAGAATCAAGTTACGATGAGAGCACAATTTAAAAGGCAGAATGGTACGGCCTACATGCCATCATGCATTCAAGAGTTTCACGCGGAGAAGGTTTGCAACTTCCGCAAGCGCTTCACAGCAGAGGAAGGGCTCTTCTTCAACAACTTCTTTGCAGACTTTGCTTTTGCCTTGGCCTTCTTCACCGGCGTGGAGCTTTCCTTTATAGGCCCAGGCCGAACTCCACTTTTTAGTGCACTCCCTCTTGGAGTAGCAGATGGTGGGAGCCTCAAGCACTGTGGTGGTAAAGGAGTAGGAGGGTTCCAAACTAGATTACTCTTCATTGAGAACCTCACTTTCTTACCACTCTTATCTCCATCCTGAGCAGGAACATTACCTTGGCTGCCAACACCTCCACCAGAAACTTCTGATGACCTATCGGAAGATTTTGAGCGGTTCCTCTTCTTTGCCACTTTAGCAGTAACTGGTGTCACCGGCATCCCGGCTTCTGCAGCAGCCTTCTCAAACTGCTTTTGAAGATTGGACATCAAAGCCTCATCAAATGTAATGGCATCAGTGTCATCGCCCATCTGCTGGTCCTCTGATGTGGCATCTATACTCTGCTCACTGCTATCCCCTCCATCACTATCCTCAACCTTATTTTTCTTCTTCTTTTCTTTTTTCTCCTTCTTGTTCTTGTCTTTCTTCACCTTCTTCTCTTGCTTCAGAGCCTTGACCTCCTCCTCCTCCCCACCTTCAACTAATGCAGCCCTCTTTGCCTTCTTCTTCTTCCTCTTCTTTTCCACCTTTGCCTCATCCAAATCCATGCCATTTTCTACCACTGCCACCATTGGCACCTGAGTGCCCTGAAACTCTGGCTCAGAGATCTTAACACCAGACAGCTCCAATCCCTTTTCGAGCTTAACAAACGCATCCCTCAGCCCAAACACCACCTTCCGATTTCCCTGCACGGTCTTAGCACTCGCCCCGATATCCAGGAATCTCTTGCTGAATCCAAACAACAGCCCGACCTTCCCAAGCTTCTCCTCCACGCTCCCCTTCTCCATCTCTTCACCTTTCCTCGTCATCTCAAGCAGCTGACTGCCGCTCTCCAGAAACCTCTCAAACAAGCTGGACCTAACCTTACTCACCAGCACCCTGTCGGCCGACTTCTCCAGCACAGTGAAGAAGGGGGCCAACAGCAGCTCCATCGACTTCAGGCTAACCGGGAGCACGGGCAAGATCTCGTCGAGGAACACATCGGCGACATGGTACCCGAGTCCACGACCGGTGGCGTTGTCGGCCTCCGGTAGGACGGCCTTCTCCGAGATGACGGAGACGATCTGGGCCGTGACGTCGGGCGCGAAGGAGCGGGCGCCGAGGAAGAGGAAGGCGTGGTGGAGGAACCGGCGGTTGAGGAGGTAGAACTTGTCGAGGCGGTGGACGTCGATGGCGGACCACTCGCGGCGGATGGTGGCGAGGTAGGCGGCGAGGAAGTCGGCGGCGACGGCGGGCGTCGCGGCGGCGGAGACCGCGGCGGCGAGGCGGGAGGCGAGGTCGGCCTGGTAGAGCGGCTTGTCGGCGTGCCAGAAGCAGAAGAAGAGGCCCTTCCAGAGCTTGAGCAGGTCGGTGGCGGAGAGGTGCGGCGCGGAGGCGGGGAGGAAGTCGGCGAGGAGGTGGCGGACGGCGCGCTCGCGGGCGCCAGCGTTGCAGGAGGCC